CGCTCATGGCTAAAACAACAATGCGCGATCGGTACGATTTTTGACAATGGCCTCAGTAGTAGAGTCATCCACTGTGGGGCATTTGCGTTTTTGTCCAGCCTTTACGGCGCACTAGACTCTATTCTCTTCGTAGGTTTTTGCTCCCGCGAAAACAGCAGGTCTTCACTCCACTCGATTCCGGGCAACCGCATCTCAGTTTTCAGCATTGATAGGAAATTCCATCATGGCCTTTATACACTGGTCCTTGGAGAGAATCTGTTTACAAAATCTGGATTTATCCATGCGCGCAACATGCCCAAGCCACCTGAGACGCCGAGACCATAGGATGGGATAGAATGACTTAAAGCCACTCTTTTGAGGATTTCTGTATCCTGAACCCTATTTTACCATTTAATTTTAAAATTATTTCTCAAACATCTCAAGTGCAAAAATTTAACCTCCTCTCCTGACCAGCATACAAGATCCACGTCTCACTCGCAAATAGGAGACCTAGACCTTATAATCTTTTCAAAAAATTCTTGAATGCAGCTATGGCCTTTCCTATTCTGCTTGTTGATTCCTTATCCATAGATAGGGTCGATGTTACGTGAATCCAAAATAAACAAACTTATTCACTGTTTTTAGAGGTTCACAATTTTTTTCTCTGGTGTGTCTCTTGTCATATTACCTCAGGTTTCCTGACGCTGATTAATCAACCGGAATGCTCGACGATCGACCAGTCGTTGAAGATCAATTTCACTGTGCAACGCTACCGCAGCATCATCAGCTAAAAAAATTCTCTAATCAGCACATTAGTTGTTTCGCATTCTAGAGACAATGGTAACATAAAAGACACGTATGCTTAAGTATATGAAGAAACAGATTACATTTCTGGTCACATAATGAGGAAAGAGGGTTTGGAAAATTTTATACTTGTTGTAACTTGACTAATGCATGGAATAATAATGCAACACAAAATGTACTTAGAACAAAATGTATTGAAACAAGAAAGTGTACACAATATTTACATATAGTCTTTTGTATATTCCTGGTAAGACCGTTCCTGGAGAATGTGTTGACTGAGTCGCAGTCGGGCAGAGTCTCTGGTTGAATCTCTTGATTCCCCCCTCTCTTCCCGGTACCAACCATATTTATATGGTCGGTACTCCACTATGCAAATTAGGTGGATCCTACCACAACAATACTCACGGGACATTTTGTATGAAAGAGGTCCAGAGGAAACCACTGCACACTTGCGAGCTTGATCGAATGAGATGCAGAACAGGGTTTGGGATAGAAGGCAAGAAGACACAATTTATTAAGACTTAAAAGAAAATACACACCTCAAGCCAACTAGCTTTGGTGCTCTTTGTAGAACTTATAAGAGTCTCTTTAGTAGGATTAGATCGTGTGGAAATTCATCATCGTTTTTATAATATTATATACTCATCTACCTATCTGTGTTATCCCTTTTAGTTGCTATTATTTGAAATTTTCAAGTGTTATTTGGTAAATTCCTTTGTTTGTGATTCTGTAACGCCTGATGAAGCTTTAGTAGAGGATCCATTCACTTGAAGAAATATTTTATATTTGTTCTGAGAAATTGCTCGCGTCTTGGGTACGACGATAAAATATATACGGCATTCTGGATATTAGAGGTTTTGAGGAACTTGTAACCAACTCTTAATTACTGTTGTTCCCAGGTATTCCCAAGCCTTGTTGCTAGCACAGGTTAGGGTCCCAGCTATGGGCAAATAAAAACCACCATAAAAAAGTCTATGAAAGTATAAAATACATTTGTACAGTAAAAATATCTGCAAAAAACATTTTAATGTAAAAAAATGACTAAACAAAAAATGACCGACAATACATATTTATAGCAAAATGACCATTAACGCCATTTATCTGTAGTCGAAAGCGTAAAATTGCGTTCAAAATATTTACTTGTTGTTATTAAATAACCCATAGGGGTGTTGATATGCCACTAAACAAATTCATCCAACCAAACAACCAATGCAGTCATGAGTACATCATTAAAATACTGATAATTAATTACTAAAAAGGCAGACAGCTTTATACTCACGTTAACAAATCGCTTTCTTCCTAGCACCTTTGGCCCAGTACAAAATTAACCAAAATATGCGAAAAATCTATATAACTGTCGAAATGATCAAATGAGCTTGTTAGACTTTAAAGAAAGGAAAACAATGATTATTTCCTGACAGCTAATTTTATAACGAGTAGCAATTTCACTGTCAAAACTTTTTTCTATTCAAACACAAGAGTCAAGCGTCAATATTGCCGATGATACAAAATAATCAATGCTTTAATTTAGTATCAAACATATTTAAAAATAACATTGACCAACAATACATTTTATAGCAAAATGACTAACAATAGATTTTAAAGCAAAATGACCAACAATACATTAGATCTTTTTTGAAGGGATACATTTGTCTTCAAAATATATTTACTTGAAGCCATATAATTGTGTTCAAAATATTTAGATTTTGGCATCAAATAACCCATATTATACCGCTAAACAAATCCAACCAACCAACCAACATAAAAGAATTATTTCATTACATTAATCCATATAATATCCGATAATTAAAGATTCAAATTGTATTTCAAAAGATAAAAAAAATCTACAACATAAAACACACCTAACAACACTTCTAATTATCTCGACACAAAAACATATATACACAAAAAATGAGTACCATCTACCATGTATTCATCTGGGAAAGCAGAATAAGATATTTTCATTACTTGAAAGCAATTTCTCAGAACAAATATAAAATATTCTTCAAGTGAATGAATCCTCTACTAAACCTTCATCGGGCGTTACAGAATCACAAACAAAGGAATTTACCAAATAACACTTGAAAACTTCAAACAATAGCAACTAAAAGTGATAACACAGATAGGTAGATGAGTATATAATGATATGAAAAGATGATGACTTTCCACACAACCTTAAAGAAAAGCTTACTAAAGAAACTCTCATAAGTTCTAGGAAGAGCACCAAAATTAGTTGACTTGAGATGTCTATTTTCATGAAGAATAGTTTGATGAGAAAACAATTATAAATTTCAACCAGCAATAAGTCTAACTATTCAGTCAATGAATGACGGATGTTTCCCGTATGGAAACGGCTATTCTCATCATTACTATATTTGTTTACGATATTCGGAACATAAATGTACGTTCATGTAGATGTATACTCATAGGTGATGGAAAACAAGATAGATCAACAAGACGTCGCTCGATGGCTATGCTTGTTCGTTCACGATTTGATATCATACAGAAAATTAACCGATTTGATGCTTAAAATATTGATCCGTTAGGTAAGGCAGAAATGAATTCAAAAACGTCTGCTGTACGACCATGCAAAAACTAATAATTAAATTTAGCAGAACATTAATAAATCTCATAGCTTATTTAAAAAAAAAACGCATTACATATCTGAATTAAAAGGAAATATATGTTAAACACAAAAGTTCTCAGAATAATATCTTGGACAACGTTAAGGAAATATTGAAAGTAACTTTGAGATATTCTTAGTTATTTATTCCTTGTAAAATATATTTTCTTTTTATTTCTTGTTAAGTAGTTTTTTTTTATTCTTTGTAAGTAAGTGGTTTGCAATCAACCTTGATGTGTCCGAAAGAAGAAAAAAGATTTCACGATATTCTTTTTGAAACAATCGATAAGTTTTAATACAAAAACAAATAAAAAAACGTTGATTTCTATTATCTTGTAATTCCAAAACGTCAATTGCTCATTGCATACTTGCGCTGTCATAGTTGTTCCCTCAATTGTTAGTAAAAGAAAAATAAACTATTTAATCCCGCAGACACAGAGAAGAAGCATTTCTGTTGAATATTTCGTTTAGCTTATGATCTAGAGAAAACTCCTGCATTGTTCTCCATGTTTTCTTTCCTAAATTACAAGTGGAAATCACTTTCCTTTCTCCTGAAAATACATCGATGTGTTCACTGATTGCACCCAGCGGAAAGGCCAGAAAAAAATTTCAAAAGATTTCTAAAATTGCCATAACAGGAAAATGTTTGACGCTGAATATATATATATATATATATATATATATATATATATATATATATATATATATATATATATATATATATATATATATATATATATATATATATATATATATATATATATATACTGAGGTGGGCACCCCGAGGCGGTGTAATGGTTAGCAGGCTTGTCTCGCTAGAACACTTACGACTGAGTAGTGAGTTCAGTCCTCACTAGGTGGCACATACTTTTGGCTTCGTGCCACATCTAAGCTAAGCTTGGAAAATCACTATAAATATTCGAGGTTGGGTAAAAAATTTTCGAAGCTTGACATACCTTTGTTTTGGATTCATATAAACATCCCCATTTCGATATAATCGAGCTGAAACAAATTTGGCAATTATTCTTTGACAATCTTCATGATTATTTTGTTTTATTGATTATTATAGATTCCTTTTGAGCCGACTCCTCTTCGTTAGAGAAAACTAAATATCAACCCTATATTGTTGATATAATACATTACTCCGTTTCACCAATCTTGTCAAATCCAAGGCTGATGTTACGGTTTGATAGCAAAGCGTTTGTGCTTGAATTCGCGCAATAAAAATAAAATGTTAATCCGTGACGATGCATAAAATATTGTGATTTCAAACAAAAAAGGTTGTTTTTTTTAAGTATAAACAAACTATGTCTACATCATTTTTTTGACATTTACATTTCGCTCTTCACCTCGCTGTGCTGATTTTTATTTTAGTTTATCGTTATGGTGATTTTATTAATACCTTTTTTATGATTGTTCATTCTTCCTGATTTCTCTGAAAAAAATAAAATCATTTTTCATTTTACCTTTTTTTATTTAACCTTCTTCTTGACCATTCCTCTAGAAGTTTCTATTTCTCATACTTTCACCAAATTCTTCTGGCTTTTCCTATTCCTGCTGTTAATTTTATTTGTTTTTGGTTCAACCTGTTTAGTTTTGTTTAATCTTTCTTTCTTTCTAACTTTTTGTTTCTATCTTTCGTCTTTAATTTTTTTTTCTTTTTTCTTTCGCGCTTTGTTTCTTCTCCGTTTTTTCTTTCATTCTTTCTTTCGATTTTACTTTCTTTCTTTCTTTCTTTCTAGCTTCGTTCCTTCATTTCTTTCTTTCCTTTTTTTTCTTTCGCTCTTTGTTTTTGGTTCGTTCTTTCTTTCTTTCCTTTCTTTCTTTATTTCTTTCTTTCTTTCTTTCTTTCTTTCTACCTTCCTTCTTTCTTTTTAAATTTCTTTCTTTCTGCATATACGTATGTTTCTTTCTTTTTATTTTATTAAGTAACGCTTTATTTATTCATTTTCCTCAACTACGTTCAACTTAGCTTTTCCTTGTTTCTTTCCTGTTCTGATTTTATTTTTTTTTTGCCCTACCGTTTTAGTTTTGTTGTATAGTTCTTCCTTCCTTCCTTCCTTCCTTCCTTCCTTCCTTAAATGATGTTTACTTCATTCCCATTTTTCTCCATCTTCATTTTCTCTTTAGTTTCCTTTCTCTCTCTCTTCATTTTGAATATCTCTCATTTCCCTAATTTTTCTTCTTTAATTTGCTTCTCTCTCTTCTGTCTTATTTTTATCCGCATTTTCCCTTACTACTTTTTCTTGTTCTTCTTCTTCTGATTCCTCATTCCTGTCTTTTCTACCGACCTTGATTATGTTCATTTTCTTCTTTCCTCTGCTATCTTTCTACTATTTTACTTCTCTCTCTCTCTCTCTTTCTCACTTTCACTTTTCAATATTCATTCTCTACTTTTTCCTTTCCCCTTTCTATTTCTTTTTATTCTTTCCTCTGAATTTCTCCAACTCCCACAGTTTTCATCCTCCTACTCGCATTTACCGACATTCTTTTAACAATTTCTCTTCTTTGCACTTTTTCTTTCATTTTTCTCTTTTCTTCTTTTCTACGTCTTTCATCCTCTTTCTTTCTCTCTCCTTCTGTTTCTATCCTCCTTGTGCTGCATCTTCTTTTTCCCTTCATTTCTCTGTTCTTTTTTCTGTTCAATCATGTCCAAACCGCCACCTATTTTTTTTTTTTAGTCGCTCCATTGCTGCTTTTATTTCTCTCGACTCAGATTCGACTCAGAATTTTTGCCTTTCTCCCTGTTTATATTTTGAATTCTTCATAATCATAATTGAAAAAGGAAAAATGATGAAAAAAACGGTGACTTTAATAGGAAAAGTGAAGAAAACTAGAGCGGAAGAAACCCAGGGGAAAGAAATAAGAGCGAAATTGGCTTGAAAATATTTAGACCTCTTGATGCGTTTTATATACAAGTGTTACTTCAACCGTAGTAGATTTTATTAGCAAAATATTATCGTTCTAGTCGATTTCTATGAGAGGCGACATGGTTATAACTAAGAGAAAAATGGCTAAATAAATAAAGATGGTGACAATGAGTATGGGTTAAATAAGACGAATAAAAGAATGGAATTGTAAGGTGTTCAAATTCAGAGGTAAAAAAAGAATTTACTCTGCTGATTTTTAAGACAATAACTAAATTATCAGAAACTAATTTCATCCTATTGTGCCGTCTAATAGGACGCATTAAATATAGCTACAAAAATCCGTTTAACATGACTAAATTTAAGAAGAATCTATAATATATTTAATTTGTTTGTACGGCTTATTAAAACTTTAAGAATTATTTAAATCCGAAAGTTATTTTGCATTCTAAGAAATATTTTACGCTTTAATATTGCATTAACTCTATTTTGAAAAATTAAATCAATTTTTTCCAGATACAAGTCCAACGATTTAATCCATAGTTACCGCAGAAGAAGAGATGAATTCATAATTTTTATTAAAGCGTCTATGACTAGAATTCGAAGTCATTTCATTCCGAGGCGGTATCCATAACACCACTCAGCCAACTCTTTTGCCATGGAAGATTTCTCTACGCCACATAAATGTATGAATTGTTAATCGGAGAGCCGATTTGCAATTACAGTTTGCTTTATATTCCCTTACGTGCAAATAAACTTGGAGAAGGAATGAATCCACATTTTCTCCCCAGTTATGGATTAATTAGTAAGACATGTATCACATAATCTATTATTATCTAAAAGAAAAATTAAATAAAATTGCCTACAAAATATTTAGATTTCGGTATTAAATAACCCATTGAGGTGTTGATATGCCACTAAAATAATAATACATCCACAAACAGACAATATTTATAGTATATGCTTAGACATAAACATGAACAAAGAGATACTTAAGGCTCGTTAGTGGGCCAAGATAGATTAATGAAAAGTTTTATAGAAAGTAAAATATAATTGTTATTTATAGTAGACATATGCATGTGTCTTGAATATTATTCAATCAAATACTCGATTAAGATAACCTAGACAAAATGTGTATTGATAAATACTAATATGTACTAAACGTGACATTTATATGTTAGCCATTTATTGCTTACTTGAAGCTATTGTTTATTTTATATTGAATGATATTCCATACAAAAAAGAAAAAATCATTCCATCAAAGATGGCGACTTCTTATAATACACACAATCGCATACCAACAGAATCCCCTATGTGATAATATTTTGGGGTTGTCGATGTTAAAGCGATTTTGGTTTTAGTGAGACATCATTCATTTATACTTAAGATATGAATATGATCATGAAAAAATAAGAGCGCCAATGAAATCAAAGATTTTATTCATGCTACATATTTAAGTCTGTCATTTTGCGGCAGATTGTTTTTTATTTGCTACCAATTATTTTCTTGATCATCCTTCTTATATTTAAAGACAATTCATTTTCTTGACTTTTACTCTCAATACAACGAGAATCTTTAATATTATTATTATTATTATTATTATTATTACTTTTGTAGCGAGTAACAATTGCGTTTGTGTTCATTTTTTTAGACAAATAATATCAATCGCTCAGTTCAATATGGTCGCCATAGCGGATTATCTAAAAAATGACCTACAATCTGCTGTTAACAAGAAATGCCTTGTTAATTTTAACTGTTCTTCATCATTCATGTGAGAAACACTTCATCCCTTCCACCAGCATGTCTGATGCTAACCTCCTGGAGAGTGACGATGTCTTCGGCTAGGAAAGTTGGTTCACTGTGTCGTTCCAGACAATCTTTATCTCTTGAATATATCTTACATATTTTAAGTCTACCGTTCGTCCTGGCTCTGCATATTGCTCCCAAATCTGCTCTGGTGTTTCTGCTGTGTACCTCGAGTTTCTTGATAAAACACAAACAAGAATCGGATATTAAGGTTTCATTATTTTACATTTATAATGGTTAGATGTAACCGTATGTTCTATGCTAAGAGTTTCTTCTTTCGCACTTCTCGCTTGTGAAAATGTCTTTCAGCTCTATACTTTCCAGTCAAGTTTGACCTTCAAACATTTAAATGCAATGTGAATCGTTATCTTCTGTCTTCTTAATTTGTGTTCTTTTATTGTTCTATCTCATTAATAGTATTTTCCTATATTCTCTCACTCTCTGTAACCCCTTGTGTCTTAATCGGTTTATTGCCTTGCTTGGGGTGAAATCATTTAAAACGAAAAAGAAGTTTCAAATGATTTATCACTCGATCGATTTCTATGTTTCGAGGTCTCTACACTCATCCTGGTTAGAATAAATATATTGAAATTTTAACAGCTATAACATTTATACTGAGTTCAAGGCTTAATCATAGACGCCATGTTACCATGCTAAAATGTTTGTTTCTTTGTATCATGTCAAATATTCTATTTGCCTTGATATACTTACCATTTTAGTTTAAGAAACTTAATATATTTTATATTTTATTAGTTGAGGCTTTTCCACCTTCAGTGTTCAGTTCAATTGTATTGTATTTCTGTATACTGGAATTAAGAATCGTTTCTAATACAGTGAATAAGGAATAAATGTATACAACTCATTGAATTTCGGACTAAAATAACCAAGAACCGAACTATCTCCTTAGTACGAGGCAGACAGACATAAACAGGAAAAACAATATATCAAACGTCTTGTTGCATCTCTCTTTCTCTCACTCCCCGCGCGCGCGCACACACGCACACACATCTGCATGCATGTATAAATATATATGTGTGTGTGTTTGTCTGTATGCATGTATGTAAATTTACTTTTGCTTTCCCAGATGGAAGAAGTGTTATTAATCCAGAGAGTTAATGTTTTCACTGAAATTAAAATAAACACACTCGGTATTTTAATTACTGATGGAAATCTGAAATTGACAGACGAAGAGCAATCTCATTATTATCACTATATTATTATTATCAGTAGTAGTAGTAGTAGTAGTAGTAGTAGTAGTTTTACAATAATAATAAAAATAATAATAATTATTATTATTATTTTATTATTATTACAGCTTTTTATATAGTAAACACACACACACATATATATATTTTATGATACATACACACTCTCATATATATATATATATATATATATATATATATATATATATAATATATTATAGGAGATATGAATAGATAGATTAAATATATATATATATAATATATAATATATTATAGGAGATATGAATAGATAGATTAAATATATATATATATATATATATATATATATATAATATATAATATATTATAGGAGATATGAATAGATAGATTAAATATATATATATATATACATATATATATATATATATATATATATAATATATTATAGGAGATATGAATAGATAGATTAAATATATATATATATATATATATAAATATATATATATATATATATATATATATATATATATATCAGTAAAGATAATAAAGATATATATTAGTAAATAGTATATAATATATATCATTTTCGTATGCAAATAGAAGTGTCAGTACAGCTTGTGTTAATCCATGAAAAATGATATCTTTTCAGTTGTGTTATCGCTTAGTATCCAGATATATTACTAAAATTTGTCCAAACACTTTTAGAAAATTACAAGAAATCAATACTTTGCATTGAGAAAAGATGAATTCTATCTGCATATTTTCTTCAAAATTCCATGTTCTTTTATGTCAGAGCCGTTTGTTTTTCTCTATACATTACAGTTCTTTATCACCCTTAAAGTGATAGATCTTCTTGGTAGAGATAATGAAGTAGTTTTATTCACTGATTACCCACACACTGCCAGATAATCCTGTCTGTATTAATAGGATCATAAATCGATCCTTTGAATCTGGTCAAGTTTTAAACAGAATTGTGATAAACAAACAGCATTGAATTCTAAATTGATGGACAGGACATATACATATGTGATCTGTGTAACGAAACAAAAAAGAAACAACACAAAAATAAAAATACCAAAAATTTATTTTATTTCTCCATATTTCATTTTTGGGTGAAGCTTAAATAGAAGCGAAACATGTTAAATTTATAAATGTTTCCTATTTTTTTCCTTATTCTACCATTCCATCATATCAGTACAATAATATTTAATTTTCTTGGGATGTTTGACGTAATATGTTTGGTTTTATTTGGTTTGTTTTAGGGCATTTCGATCACAATTGATTATTTAATGCCGACAAAATTGATATTGCTGATAATATTTTTTTTGCAAAAATATATTTCTGGTAATATTTTTTCTTCAAAACTTTATTTCAGGTAATATTTTTCCAAAACAATATGTAGATGGT